TTCCTCTGCTCACCCCTGCCAAGTGCTTCCTCACTTTCATAGGCCCTCGGCCTGAATGCTTTACTCCGGGTGTCCACAGGATGGCGCCGTCACTTCCTCCAGGTCTTTGCCCAAAGTCATCTTTTCAGGGATTTGTCCTTCATCATTCTGTCACCTAAAATCCCAACAGCTTCCCAGAACCAATTATTCCTTATTCTGCTCTATTTTTCTCCATTACCGTGATTGCCATTGGACAGACTCTCTCCGGTTTGTTGTATGTGTATTTCCCCCGACCAGAATGTAACCCTTAAGAGGATAAGGTTTTTGTCTGGTTTGTTAATGTGTAATATTCCCAGTACCTGGGCAAGAGCTTACCATGAACTAATATGGAATAAATATCTTTTAGTGATAATAGACATTTTATCCTTTTATTATATATAAAGTACCATTTGCCAATATTCCTCTTTCCGTAACATCTCTTCAAGTAAAAAATAAATGTCTCCAAAAGAATGACTGGAAAACAACAAAAACCCTCCTTTCCACAGATACATTTAAAAAATTTTTTTATTAATTCATAAACACATAGATCATGTATACATTGATGCCTTTATGCAGTACAATGTGCTGAGTTTATATATAATTAGGAATGCTTACATCAAATTAGTTAATATAGCCTTCACCTCATTTACTTATTGTGTTAAGACATTTATACTCTATACTTAATAGATTTGACATATACCCTTGCAATATGAACCGTAGGAATAGTCCCACTGTTTACCCTCCTTCCATCGATTCTTTGGCCTTCATCTTGGGCTATAGTTGTGATTTATCTTACGTAAGCAAGAGTGATTATAAATTGGTTTCATAATAGTACTGAGTACATTGGATACTTTTTCTTCCATTCCTGAGATACTATACTAAGAAGAATATGTTCCAGCTCCATCCATGTAAACATAAAAGAGGTAAAGTCTCCATCTTTTTAAAAGGCTGCCTAATATTCAATGGTATACATGTACCACAATTTATTAATCCATTCATGGGTCAATGGGCACTTGGGCTTCTTCCATAACTTGGTAATTATGAATTGAGCTACAATGAACAATCTGGTGCAAATCTTTGTTGTAAAGTGATTTTTGGTCTTTTGGATATACACCTAGTAGAGGAATTGCAGGGTTGAATGGCAGGTCTACTTTTAGGTCCCTGAGTGTTCTCCAAACTACTTTCCAAAAGGAACATATTAGCTTGTATTCACACCAGAAGTGCAGAAGTGGTCCCTTTTCTCCACATCCAGGCCAACATTTGTAGCTTTGGAAGTTTGTTAAGTGAGCTACTCTTACTGGAGTTAGATGATATCATTTTTAAGATATCTTTTTTATGTTTTTACTTTTTTGGAAAACATTTTTGTGTCTGGTAGTAAAAGTAATATGTTTATGGAATCATTTTAGGAAGTTCAAAAAAGTCCAACCCTTTTAAATTACTAGTACTGCCACAGAGTTAATCAATGCCATCATTTTGATGTAGTTCCTTCAGGTTTTTCTGTATATATCCATATATCCCAGCATGCAGGCTCACACACACTTTTCTGATTTTCTTTTTTTTTTTAATTAAGTCATATATACATAGATCATGAATGTATTTATGCCTTTGTAGGATTCACTGTGTTGATTATTTGTACAAATTGGAGTGCTTACATCCTACTAATTAACATAGCTTTCACCTCATTTACTTAATCACAGTGTTAAGACATTTGTGTTCTATGCTTTATAGATTTGACTTGTACCCTTGCAATATACTCCATAGGACACACACACTTTTCTATGAATGATATATATTTACACATATTTATGTATATTTAAATTGGGATTATATTAGTTTAATTTTATCATGTTCTATACCAGGCACATACTATGTATCATTGCTTGTTTTTCCAAAACATTATATTCACAGGTATCTTAATATTGTATACACATATAATCTGTTATATATTTTGTTTAATTCGTCTGCTATTGTGGGTATTTTGAAATTTTTATCACTTTTATTTTAGTTTATTGGTTTTTAGCCACTTTCATTTATTCTAATCGCATATTTACCCAAGCTTGCATATTTTACTTATCAATAATATCCTTCAAAGTTTGAGCTTTAGTCCTTATGATCATTTAAAATGCCATTGTCTAAGTTCTAAGTGCTCTACCATTATGGTCTGTTTACCTTTAATTCCTTGGCTTTATCTATGTTTTCCCTTCTTGTGTCTTCCAGATAATACGCCATTTCCAGGATATATTTTAAAGCATGTTTGGGCAGCAACAGGGACTTATCACCTGTGGCTGCGTCCTCCTCCTCTTTCACAGTCTACTCCCGATTCTCTCAGAACCCCCTCCTTTAAAGAGCATTCTCAGGACATGGGTGGTTCTCCCCGGTGAGGTCATAGTGCCCTCTGGAATCACGTTCCCAGCCATCTCTTCCTGAAGAGAGGAATATTCTGTGTTCTAGACTCTCTAACATATGCAGTCCTGATGTAGAGGGTGTCACCTCTCGTCCTGCCTGATACGGGCCAAGGGAGCAAAAGCCAGTCCTAGGGAAGCTGCCTGTGGGGCTTCCTGAGTCCAAGTGCTGGCTTTGTTTCTCCCTCAGCCTTTATCTTCATCACTTTTAGTTTAAGCTTTCTATTGGTTTCCTTTGGGGCAGGGTGACAATTTTGAGTCCTTTCATCCTCCCACTCCCATCAGGCCCAAAGGAAGAACTGGCTGTTACTACCACAGGCTGCAATGCCAAGCAGACCTCGGGTCCTCATGGATTAAACAGACCCACACCAATCACAGTATTAAAGAAGCCAATTTCCCCAAAGTGTCGCTGGGATGCTCTATCTGCATTTCAGTCTTCACAGCGTGTCCACAGGATTAGCTCCCTGCATTCCAGGAACACTATTCCCCTCGGCTTCCTGTGTTTCCTCTAGACCAGGAAGGGCTATTTCCTCTGGAGGAAGCATTTCCTCTCCTTGGTCACCTGGCTGATGGCACATCCTTTGAAGCAAGCCTTTCTTC